CCATGTGATAATCTTTTTTGTCAATGTTGTCTTCCATTAAATACTTACAAGAAAGTCAACCATGGCCAATTATTGATTTTGCTTCAAGTTCAATGCATCGATTTCTCAATGGTTATACTACCTATCTCAATTGTCCAGCAGTATGTTGTTCTTAAATGTTAAATTTTATATCGATCGGCTATGATTAAAATTTAGACATGTACTACATCGAATATAATTTATGCCATGACATATCCATGTGGTCATTATGATTATGTTGATTCAACAGCAAAAACATTGGCTCATGCTATGGCTTGTAAATATAAATTTGCTTACGATAATCATGAGCATGCCTTTATTTCTCTTCTTCTTTTTCCTAATGATATACAGATCATCGAGAACATGGCAATCGAATTATACATGAAAAATTAACCGGTAGTCCTCTATTTCGAGGATCACAAATCGATCCTAATGAAAGAGAGTAATAAAAGACATTCGATCATTCTTTCAATTATGCTACATATTCTTTGTTTTCTTTTTCATTCATTGTTGTAGAAAAGAAATGGCTAATCAAATGCGTCTCTATCAACATTCAGCTCGTTGTCCAGCAGTACTTCGTTCATTTCTTGATTGCAATCCTACGTATTGGTGTTTCATTCCTATACCTTGGGATGAAGCAGTAACAGAAAATACTGCTAATCGTCCAGGAAATTCTACTACAGATCTCAATCTGGATGCTGTGATAGCAACTACTGCCGTAGACAATCGTAGGGTGGCCAATTATCTAGATAATGTACCATTATCACCAACTCCCTATGCCTTCTCATTTCGACAGCTAAAACAACAGCGTCTATTTTTCGAACGATTTGTTACTTCTTCCATTCATTACCGGCCTTATATCAAATTAGATTTGTATAACATAGCAATCATTGCCGTTTGTAAGTAAATCTATCTTTATCAACCACATCATCATCATCATCATTATTATTTATACCTGTTTTTCCTTCACATTGATTTAGTGCCAGATGATTGTTCAATAATACTACGATACATCATCGAAACGTTATTCATTATTCATGGTGAAACTAAATTAAATATGATTTGTCCACTTGGTGGTGATGCTGAAAAACGTTACGGTCTTCCGTATAACCTAAATCGGTGTGCTAATTTGAACCATTCATCAATGTAAATCACGACATGAACTCAGTGACCTTTTAAAACCACAATGGTCACTATGATAAAATAACATTTAATCATTATAAGTAACTTTATCCAACTCGTAGATAATAGCCAATCTTTAGTGTTTGTAATCTGTGTGCGAAATAGTTAACCTTAGATTAATGAAATATATTTGTGCACTTTTTCTAATATCATATTCATATATACTTTCATTCTAGATAAGTATAACCCTAGACGCACACTTACTAGTTTCCTGCTTAACTGAACAAACCCAAGACATTCTCATCATAAATCAAGCCATATCACTGCCAAAATACACGACAAATCAACCTATGTTCGCTGAAGATCTGTATAGATCATTAGACAACGGCTTGACTGAAACTAAGCATCAATCGATACTCCAAAAACCTAACTCCACTCGCTATCCATTAGCTATCAGAACTGTGACAATACCGCAACGGAAACACTATCCAGAATAAACAAACATTATCACCAAAACACACATAAAAAACAACAACACCTCCGGATAAAATTACTACTCCATTTCAAAACGAACTCACATATTTTAACCACGTACCAGATTATACATAACAAAACGCTACAATAACAAGCACTAACAAACCATTTAACATATATATTCATGGTAATTTAGTGAAAGTTATTCTTAGCTTTCATTAAACTGTCTCGAACTTGTGGGTAGAATTGAATTGCAGCATTTTAAAATTTAATAGCCGAACTTACCTGATAAAGACCCTTAAGCAAGGTCGAAACCGGTCGTAAGCATAGCTTGTGCTATTAAATGAAATTCATTTGTATATACACACCCACACCCACACCCACCCCAACAGTAGAAGAAGAAGACAGAATGAGCACGATGAGATATAGGATTAGTTATGGTCAAGTCATCCGAATTTAATTCAATTTTGAGATAAGTTGAATTTTTAAAATTAGGATGATTTCTTGAAAAAAGACCATTATGAAGATCTTCGATACAGTTAGGATCATAGTCAGGTGGTATATGTTGTAGATCGGCTAGGACTTCTGATAAACGCAGATACTTTTCAAGACTACGCAAAAAATGCACATATGAGTACTTCACTGTTTTTATTTCTTTGTTTTTCGTAATTGTCTGTAAGTAAAACGAAAAACTATACGAATTATTATTTGATTTAATTTTCTTGAATCATAGAGAAAAAATTTAGATTTTTTTAAAGGAAACTTCTTATCAATATAGATCTAAGGCATACCTGATAAAATCGACTGATAGGTTCAATGTATTCGAAATACTCCGTGGCCTTTTTTTTGCGAACATGTTTTGATTTAAGGCGATCTATACAAGTAGCTAGAGTAGCGGCGTTCTAAAATTATAAAAAAATCAGATATATGTGATTAATTAATTCATAATTTCAAACCAAATTTTTCAATGAAACAGCCTGAAAAAGTTCCGTAAGACTAGTTGCAACATATTCGACAGCTGCCTCAGATGTATGAAAAGTCGTTTGAAGAGTCAGTAACAAATATAACACACGTTTTTCGAATGCTTTGAATTGTTCATCTTCATTCAAGCTCTCCATGCTTCCGCTACTATTAAACGATTCGTTTTCAAAATTTTCGTCATCTTGATCATTTTGTTCCACCCGATATTCCATATTTGAACATTCCTCGTGATCTGTCGGGCTTGATAACATTTCATTAGTTTTTTCGGTTTCATAATATTGATTGTCTTGACGAAGAGTTTCCTTTTTTTCGTTATGAAATCGACTCCAACTAGAAGTGATTAATGATATATTTTTAGAAATAAATTCGATAAAGAAAATAAAAAAATGTCACTGAGATTGGAGACTTCGAAGAGTACTAAATGAGCCACCACATGAACAAATAAGACGTAAATGTTTACTGTAACTATGTAGATCTTGATGATGTCTCACATATCCCGAGATCGTGTTGAAACTGGTTTGACAAATAGAACAATGCATTGATAATCTAAATATAAAAGTTATGTTTTATTTTTAGATGAAAATTATATTCGAACATCAAGGTCGTAAGACTACAATAATTGGTAATGATTATGATTCAATAGTTGAAAAAATTAGATCATTATTTCCAAATCAAAATCATCATCGAATACAATTTTATGATGCTGAACTCAGTGATTATTTTGAGTTCACATCATATGAACAAGTGATTGGTCAACCAAATGGGTTGAAAATGAATTTCGATATGTCAAGCATCTCAGATTCGTTCGTACTTGATCCATCTTCATTATCAACAACCAATGACAATGATAGTGATAGTGATACGCCAAATAAAAATTTAACTAAACGCTCATCAAAAAGATCTCGAAAAAAGTCGTTACTTTCACGTGATGTACTATGTTTTACCAATTATATAGATTACTTTGTTTTTATTTCTATTTTAGCGTGAAAATATTGAACCACCATCATTACCACAATATTGTGACTTAATAATTCAAGGTTTACAATCACGAGGTAAACTGATTCTTAATTAATATTTATGCTTTATCTTTTTATTATAGAATCATTTCCAGCGATACAGCAAGAGTTTTTAAGACAAACATGCACCGTTTTTCTTCAACAATATCCTGATTCTTCTTCAAGAAAAGTTCATCATTCCTTTGTTATGGCTCTCACACAAAAATTTCCAGCATTAAACTTTTTAAACAAGAGTGTCGATGGAGTTGATGGAAAAGCACCATATGTAAGTTTATTGAAACATTTTTTAGGAATCATAAAAAAAAATAATCATATAACAACTTTTCTTTACTATTTACAGCATACAATATCTCGTCTACTTTCTCGAAAAAAACGAAACCTCAAATATTCAAAAACTCATCCAACACCAAAACGTGCACGAACATCAACACTTGATTCAAGTTCTGACAACAAAGCAAACACGAACGTTGTCAATGAAGAAACAGCAATAAAAGATGCACATAATTTAGATATGGATTTGGACAAAAATAGTAAGCTGTATGCAATAGTCTTAAAAAAATGTAATTATTCTTTCCACGTAGATTTTTCTGATGGAAGTTCAATTGAAGAATTAATAGATGAATCTTTTAAAAATCAAACATTAAATTCACTTCGTGATCCATTTGGTAAGTATTTTAAATTGAATAAAAGCATCTTTTATTAGTGTCAATTTTGGTGCCATTTATTTTGATTTAGAAGAACAAACTGTAACAACTCCATCACCCAACACACCCATCAGATCAAAAACAATCTCAAAAAATGATCGACAAGCAACAATATCATTAGTAACTCTATCGCCTTCAAGAACTCAATCAATTTCGTCAACATCATCAACTCAATCAATTTCATCGACTTCATTAACGCAATCAGGTATTTCAATCATTAATCTTCCATCCATTTCAACTACACCAGTGATAGTAAAACCAATCATCATAACAAATACACCATCTAATCTTATTTACCACAACGGTCGTATGCACATAACTTCACGTAAGTTGTTCAACTTTAAAGAAAAATGTGTGGATAGTATCTTTGTCTACGAATAAAGGAAAATTAGTCATCGACTGCTCCAGCGAGGCATAATTTTTTTTTCTATTCCGGACAAATCATTCATGTATAGCCCGTACAGATCATGACACGCATCAATAGGCGTAGAATTACATTCAAGAGAACACAATATTACAACTTTTTCGTTCTCTTTATGTAATTCGTACTCTACTCTGGAAGAAAGGATATCTGTAGAATTATTTAATCCACTAAAACAAAGTGACCTTCTGTTTTGCAATACTGCTCCAGTTTGTTTAATTTTTTGTATTCTTTTGCTGAGACCAGTTCATACTTTTTCACTTGTGTTTAACTTAATATTTGGAGCATCACTGTTGTATTGCAGAAAAATTTATATTGCATTCATTATTTATCGTTATATTTTAGTACCATCACAATCAATAGTTGCTGTTCATAAAGCTATTGTACCACGCGATTGTGAAAAGAAACAAGGTATGGTTATCTAAATTTTGAAATTTTTCGATCGTTTGTTTTTCAGAAAAAAACCAAAATGATAGTTGTCAAGGTAACAGAGCGACCAACACAAAAGAACCGGAAAATATTTTAAAACGTAAGTTTTATTATTGTTTCGCATGTCGATTTTTTTCTTTTTTAGAATCTACTGTTCATAATGTCGAAGAATCATATAGTACGAAAAATAATCTAGAAGTATTATTTCCCAAGTTATCTAATTCAGAACAAAGTGCGTACAATACAGATGTTGCCCGTCTTCGTTCAATTACAAAACCTAAGAATAAATCGTCAAACAACATTTCAATCGGCGAAGTACATGCACTGATACAAAATACTCATAGAATTAGGCGTCTACTACTTGAAAAAGAAAAAAATGATTTCTACATGAAGGTTTTTCAATATCAAGAAATGTTTCTCGAAGAGGCAGTAAGAAGTTTTTTTTTGTTATAACTAATTTTCTTTTTTCTCATTTATGCCGTTCAATACTTTTTAACATTCGAAATGATTAACAAATTTTATTTATCAATAATACTTGCTTTTGGTTTTTTTTCTAGCTCATCATGGAATTTATGCTATTACAAAATCAAATACTTACCTGGGATGAATTACAATATAAATCACGTGATTTACTTGATGGTCTTATTACAAAATATAAGATTGAAACACAAGAAAAGGTAATTACTTTGTGTAAATTGATTGTACTTTTTTTGTTTCTATTGCAGACTACTGAGGCCGATTTTTGCATGTATTAAAATTTTTTGTGAAGCAGCACATGAAACAATTTGTTTTTTAAGGTAAAACCGTTTTTAATTTACCATGTCCTATGTTTTTCTATTTAGAATGGCTTATCTAATCCACATCCAATGATTGGGGTTATCGTTAGCTCGTCATCGATGAATCAATATGAAAAAGCATTTATATTCATCAGAAACTTGCCTTATAAAATGCCTGTTACAATTACTGCTGGTGGTTTACATAAAATACTTTCATTACTTCTCATCATATACATTTGCTTGAATGATACACCTGTTCATAAGTTACTTAAAATGCTGTTTGAACAATGTGGCGAAAAAAAGCACTAGCAGAAGGTAATAACATCTATTATTTGATAAAAATATTTTTTTTGTATCTTTTACTGGTGGTTTGTTTTTGTAAGATTGCTGAATTTCGTATTTTGTATCTTCTCATACATTTTTATCTTTATTTATTTTTGTTTAAAGTTAGTTTTGAACATACTAATTGATGAAATATGACATTTATTTATGATTTTGTCTTATGTATATTTAAAAAATTTAATTTCTTCTTTGTAGATAATATTAATAACATCGACATTTGAATGGCCAACAATTTAGAACTGAACTCTAATTTTTTTTCCAAACAACATTTCCAAAATAGAATAACTGTCCACAAACTATATTGCTTATTCGTTGCGCACAAAGTTTTTAAACAGGAGTATTTTTGTAAGATAGATTCCCAGTGCTCATGTAGGTTTTGTAATAGTTTTTTTAGTCACTTCAGTTGATCTGAGATCCATACGTTCTAGAAATAAATGGGTTAAAGACTAAAGGGAATTTTTCACTGTGTAAATTTTTAGAACACAAGTCTTAATTTAATTTTTAACCGATGTTACATTTTCATGTTTCAATAACTCGAAAAAAAAAAGAAAATTATCGTGTAAATAGCATCATTTTTTTTCGAGTTATTTAAACATGAAAATGTGACATCGGTTAAAAATTAAATTAAGACTTGTGTTCTAAAAATTTGCCCTGCGAAAAATTTCTTTCAGTCTTTAATCTACTTATTTCTAGAACGTATAGGTCTCTGATCAACTAAAGTGTCTAAGAAAGATGAATGTAAGACACTTTTCTCATTGGCGCAGACCATCCAAACAAAAGAGAGTAAGACGCTCGAGTGTCTAAAATTGGTTATCCGTTGACACTTGAAGTATCTAAATTCGATACGTATTAACCAATCAGAATCAGCCCAACGTGTCTTGCATAAACAGATGGATCGTCTTGTATATACACTTCTTACGTCTTGATCTTTTAGAGTGAGGTGTCGCAACATAGAACAATGAAATTCCTTGACACTCGGCCAAATCATTAGGATTTTATCATTTTGAATAGAATGTTTTCATTGCCCTTATAAAATTAGGAAATTATTTATCTATTTCTCTAGTTAATCTTTCCGTAGTATTTGTATTGATTCTATCAAAATAAAATTTCAGCTTTCATTTGAATTTATAGGATATTGTTAGATTTGATGATTGTAGTAGTAGATGTCACAGGAATTCTGCTGTTGATCAAAAGATAAATCTCTCAGACAACTGAACTATTTTTACTATAGTCCTTCTCTATTTTTAGTAACAAAATACTACTGTCTCATAGTTCTTTGGGCCATATAAATGCGCATATGTAAATTTAAACATCAAAGAATGATCAGAAGAAAAGGGAAA